TAACTTATATGGGATCTCTGGCGATGAGAATAGGGGGCGCTTCCGTGACATTTAATAAGTCAATTAGCGTCTGTCGTTTTGGAGGCATCGCGTCGCAGGAGAGGGGCAGTCGGGGTGTGGGCAGGGGGGCAGGGGGCTGGCTGCGGGGCGGGGCAGGGAACTCGGGCGCGTAGTTGCCTGCACCCCCTCCCACCGCAGCCCCCGGAGCCTCGCGGCGGACCAGCCGGCCCCTCGGTACCCGGCACCGGACCTTCCAGGCGGGTGCCCGCGCCCCTCCCGGGGACACGCCCGCAGGAGCCCCCGGCGCTTCCCTACAGCCCGGTCTTCCGAAAGTTTTGTTCCTTAGATGTAGGCGGACTCCTGGTGAGAGTTCAACAATGTCTCTCCTTCCATTTTTTTCTTGTAAAATGTATGATCAATCAATCGCGCACTTTCCCATTTCATTGGCGCTTTCTGGGCAGGAGCTGGACGCCCTCCAAGTCGGCGCTGCGATGGGGAAGGTGTGAGCACAGCACCCAGAGGCGTGGGGCTCAGGTTAAAAGCCTCCCCATTACCGGGCGCGCACGCGGGAGCGCGAAGGTGCTGGAAGGAGCTGGAAGGAGGGGAGGGGCACGGGCCTCTGGACAGGACAGGCCAGGACCCCGCGGCCTCCATCTGCCCCGTCCTCCCCTGGCTCTGCGTCTGTCCCCATCTCCTCCCGGAAGGCCTGTTTCTTTAGAAAGTCAGAGTTCGGCAGAGGGCGGGTGGGCGAGTCGGATAGAGATGGAAGACGGAAATGTGGCCGCTGACCCCCCACGTTGGTGTAAGTGTTAAACTCTGCTCTTGGAAAGCACATGGTTTGATTTCTCCGGGAGCATTTCTTTTGCAAGCAATAGCACAGAAAAGTGACCGTTTCTGTTAAGATGTATTCAAGAAAAAGTAAAAATTCATATCAAACAGATCTTAGGCAGCTACGATGAATGCTTTTCCTTTTCCCAGCGCCTCTCCATGTGTAAGAAGACCTGTAAGCGCCTCTTTCAAGAGCGCCGCCTAGTGACCAGTCTCCCCGCCCCCGCCCCCCTCCACTCCCATCCCCCCCTTACCCCCATCATCTCCTCGACCCCTCACCCCCACCCCCGGGTGCGCATTCAGCATCCCTGGGTAGCCCGACAGCAGGAGGGGCGAGTGGCTCCAGCCAGTCAAATTTCTATTGCAAAATATTTTCGTGTAAAACTTTTTTGGGGGAAGAAATATTGCTGCAATGAAAAAGAAATTAGCCAAAATTCATTATTTTAAATTTACATGCAATATTTCCTTTTAAATAGTATTCGACACCATCAACAGCTACATTTTTTTCTAAAACATCCCAGTAAGAACGACCTCGCCTCGCTGGTGATTCATACCACCCTCTCCTCCTCCGCAGTCGGTAAGGGGCCCACACAGGGGTCCTCCGGCTCCTCGCAGCCACTCGGCAAGGCCCGCACTTGCGCAGGCGCATTGGGTGCTCCAGTGCATGAGCATCAGCAACAAGCCAGGCACTTGGCTGGGGTTTAGATTCATGAGATCTGCGAGCGGGATCGGACAGTTCCTCTAAATTCATTCATTTTTTGCGAAGCTCTGTGCTGAAAAGACTCTGGATGCCCTTCGTTTTGTAGAAATCATTTTTTCAGACTTTTCAACTGAATACAGGAGCGCACTGATTAATAATCTCTACCGAGCCTTTCCATGCAGGGTGTTGTCAGGATGACTCCTGGGAGCCCTCCAGTCAGCAGAAAGATGTGTATTGTTCCCAAATCTGATTGGCTAAATCCATCGTCTGTGCTGGTTAAGGCAAAGCAAACTACACGCAGACTGGTTTAGGCGAAAACGTGATGTATTTACCCAATCACGTACCCTCCATTTCTTTTTGTGCTTGGACTGGACGGTCTGTGAAGTCTGAAGCTGTATGATTCCGTGATTGTTACCAAAACAACAAAATGCAATGTTCCTACAAAGAGCTGGAGCAAGTGAGTTACTTGCAGTCACTATGAATCTCACCATCTATCTTCAGGCAACAAGAGATTAACATATTTACATTAAATCATTTCATTCCCTTCTTTAGTAAGTGAACAACTTTCTACTATGAAGGCTCCAAAAAAGATGAGAGAAAATTAAGTAACAGATTATATTTTAACATTATTGTCAAAAAAACTAATAATTTCTTTTGCTAGATTTGACTCAGCTTTGCTTCCTTTTGAGAAAACTATATAGGGTCAAAGAAGGAAAACTAACCAGATAGGGAAAAGTTGTGTTTAATCTACTATAGATCTATGTTGTGAGAAGAGAAAGGTGTTTTTTTCAATTTATAAACTGTACAAAGCTCTAATGTTTTAACTACAAATCACTTTCTCTTTTCCATAAAGTTATCTATTTTATTTGAGATGAATATTAACTACCCTCAAAGATTCTAAAATAGATGCATATTCACTACATGTTTGATTCATTGTATTTGTTCAACCATTCTGTTCCTTAACGATGCAAGTAAACTCTTACTAGAGAGAAGAACAGTTACCTTTCATGAAGGAAAACATGCGCTATACAGAAATATTGTTTAATGTTTGACTTGTATCGGTTACATATTTTCACTATTAATACGTTACTAGTATGCTAGGAATGTGCTAGAATCTGTACAAAGCATTGGGGGAGGCAGTACTGGACCCGTCTCCCGGTGTAAGCGGACCCCCTAGAAGTCACGAGCTGCACGTTGTGGCCTGTGGTCTCTTCTGGATCAAGGAGACACAGCCCACCCAGGGCTTCCCCCAGACGCACAGCCAGCACCGGCTCTAAGCTGTTGGGTTCCCCGCCCTACGCTCCCCATGCGCCTTCACACGGCAAGGCCTGGGGTCCTCCGCGGCCTGGGCTTTTCGGTGTCTCCGTTTGCTTGGGCCGCAGCCAAGCTCAGGAAAGGCTTGCGGGGAGCGTGGACTTTGCGCTCCTTCTTGGAACTGGTTTAGTTATAAAATCCACCTGAGAAAATGCCTTCGGTGCGGTGACCCTTCTCTGTCCTTCAAGGCTGCTCTGACGGCCACCAGGACGCTGTGCCCCACACCCTGTCTAAAGGGCACCCTGTTGGTTTACAAAGTCCGTCTCCCGTCTAGGTGCAGTCAGATCACCCATGTGTGCTGAGGAACAACACCAATATTTCTACATTCCATATATTTTCTGGATTTTTTTCTGCAGGAGATCAATTACAGTGGAACCTTTTTTCCAGAAACGTCTCCCATCTTGAACAATTCCCCTCTCAACCTGACAGCCCTTTCCTGCTGACACCTGTGTGGTCAGTCACACAGAGAATGCACGAGTGTGAGTCAGTTTACACTGTTAACATCTCAGGATACTGTGCGGTGAATATTTTCATGTTTTTTTTTTGCTTTTGTGGCTGCTTATAATTATTGTTAAAAGCATACATGTAAAGTAGGTGTACACACATGAGTAAATAGCACACACATGTGCACATGCAGGGAGTCAGGCCAGTGGCTCAAGCTCGTTAGGCCCAGCACCTCCGTCACTCATTGGACATCGCCTCAGGGTCATGAGCTGCCTCAGACTGAGGGCTTGTTTTCCTGGTTCTCAGTAGCGTGTTCTCGGTGGCGTGTTCTCGGTGGCGTGTTCTTGGGGGAACCTCCTGCGCCCTGGGCCAGGTCTGCAGGGTCTCGGTCTGCCCTGCACGACTCAGGGTCCCGGTGCGACTTGGTGCGGGTTCTGTCTCTTCTCCACCCACAGAGGAAACACGCCGGCCTCTGGGAGGACTGCACCCCTGACGCCTGCAGTTTCGGGGAAGCAGCGTGTAGGCGAGGGCTC